CGTGCCATCAGAATCATCTGAGGAGCTTTTTAAAAAAAGTTTATCTGGGACTCATACCCAAGAGATTCAATTTTCTGGGGGTGATGCTTCTGTAAAAGCTTCCTGGGGTTAATTGTTCCACAGGGTAGAGAATCACAGCTCTGATCAAAGTATTTGTATGCAGGAAGGAAGGAACAGAGGATGCTACATTTGTGCATAAATATTAGAATTTCCAAATAACACTGCTGTTAATGTATCCTGTGTCTTCTAGCTCAGAGAACAAAAGTGCTAAGGAGTTATGCCTGATTGCATTTTACTAAGTCACCAATGTACCCATGGTAGGCCCAATGAATTTGGAATCTTTCTGACTCAGTCTTCCTGGATGCTAGAATTACAGGTGTGTGCCACACGCTCGGCTCACCCAGTATTTTTTACATATCATCCTCTTCTATTTCTCTAGTATTTAGGTATTCTCTAAATTAATACACATATTCATATACACCAAACCTTTGGTTGCTATAAGTCAAAACTGCTTTATTCTTTGACAAATCTCCAGCAATGAGAGTTCTGGCACACAGTCAAAATTTAATCACTTGCTGAGTGGATTAACAACTAAAATTCTACTTCTAACTTAATAGAAATCACCCAGACTGCTACATAAATTCAAAGCATTACACATACCACATGCTTTTTATCATGTACCATCATTTCATCACATATCATCACTCTCTTTCACCTTTAAAAACAACTATTTAGAGGTTCACATATAACAAAAACATTTCATTTTCCAGGATCAGAGTAGGAAATGTGCCTCTGCAATGTTTTAAACTCTTTTCAATACTTAGAACAGCCTCCTGGGTCTAATCCCTTCCCACTTTAATCAAAAGACTAAAAAAAAAAAAAAAAAAAAAAAATCAATCTTCAGACTGATAAACATGGAGAAACTGGTATTAAAAATAAAAAAAATAAAATAAAACCAGCATGAGCTGTGTGCTTTCTACTGTGGAAATCTACTTTCTCATCTGTATAAGATGTGAATATCAATAATGTACTGAAAGCCTACAGCAAGGCTTACCTGTGTCTTGGGTGCTTGAGATACACAGGACCTGTCATCAAGGAGTTCAGACTATTGATAAGAATGAGTGAAACTCCTTACTCTGTGCTAGCTCTATTAAGGACACTCATGGTCTCTTTGAGAGAGGTAATCATTACTCTATCCACACATATATAAAACAGGCCAAGAAGTTAAGTAACTATGCCAGAACAGCACGTTACACACAGGATCTACGGTCCAAACTCAAATTTGTGTCTGCTCTAAGAACATATTTTGTTTTGCTTTTTGTTTTCATTTTCTGAGATTGGATCTTGCTATGCAGTCCAGGCAGGCCCTGATTCACTAATTGGCCTTTTGCGGACCTCAAACTCACAGCGATCCTTCTGTCTTAGCCCCAGCTGCTGGGATTACAGGTGTGCACATCACATTGTAAGCATACATCCCTTAACCACTACTTCATTTCTTCACAAGCACCAAGGAAACAAGACAAAGTAAATACATTATCTTATGATAGCTATGTATAAAATGGTTAGGACAAATATAATAGATACTAAACCTGGTTTGGACATTTGGAGAGACAGCTAAAATGCAAACTGAGGGGTTCTGAACTGTCTTTAAGGATGAGTAAGAGATGTGAGAAAGAGTAATAAGAGGCTGAACACATACATTATACCTACTCTATTCTAAGGTCCTATAAAAATGACAGTGGTAGAATAAAAAAGAGAATCTTTGAAAGTATCTTTTCTAAGACTATCAATTATATGTGAATATAGAATGTACATATAAAAATTTCCCCCTAAACTGCGTTTTCCAGTATTTTCCTACTTTATAACAATTAGAATAAAAAAGTACTATGGACCTCAAATAATGTATTTTGTAAAAAAGAAAAAGGCTAAGAATTAACAGCAAATTTTGAGTACGCTGAAAATATGACAGAAAAGAAGGTTAACAGTCTCCCAGAAAGCAGAACAAAAGGCAGCAAGAAAAATGGCAGACTAAAATATGAAATTAAAGGGTGACAGAAATTTTGTATCATACAAAAGAAATTCTGGAAAGGAAGGGAAAGCATACTGAGAAGAAAGTACTGTGAAGGAAAAAGAAAAAAAAAAAAAAAAAAAAAGCCAAATGTGTGTGGTACATGCCTGTAATCCCCACACGCTGGGAGACTGAGACAGGAGGATCTAAAGTTCAACCCTAGGCTGGGCACTTAGCAAAAAAACCTTTTTTTTTTTTTAAGTGGCAGGGTATCACTAGGTTAATTCAGAGTGGTCTAAAACTCACTATGTAGACCAGGCTGGCCTCAAACTCATGGCAATTCTCCTGCCTCAACCTCCCAAGTGCTGGGATTACAGGTATGCGCCATCATACCCAGCTATAACTCAATAATTTTCTGAGACTGTGTCTCAAAATTTAAAAGGAGAAAGGGGTTACAGCTCAGTGAAGGATCTGGGGTTCAATCCTCAGTACCACAAAAAAGACAAAAACAAAAAACAAAACTGCTCAGAATTAGATGAGCAATCAGATACTGAGAGCTTGGAACATTTACCACAACAAACAACTCAGGATGGGATCAAAGCAAGCTAAAATATGACACAGTGACCTCTTGAACTCTTTTTTATGTTGGTGCTGGTAATGAACCCTAGGCCTCATGCATACTAAGTATATGATCTACCACTAAGTACACTTTCAGCTCCAATATCTCCAACATTTTGAAGAAAACTTTAATTCCAAATAACAATTATGAATTTGACCAACAAGCAAGAATAAAGGCACTTTTCAGATGTGTACAGTCTCATCACATTATCTAACAGAGGAGACTGCTAAAGATAAAGATTATGGAGGTTCTCAAATTCAAAACCCTAAAATCTGTGCCACACATCTCACATTGTTAACTGTGCGCTTTATCACACTACTTTTTAAAGTTCTTTTTCTTTTGAAACAGGGTCTCACTATGTAGTTCAAGCTGGCCTCAAACTCATGGTGATCCTCTTGCTTCAGCCTCATGATTGCTAGGATTACAGGCATATACCACTATACCTGACTAAAAGGCTTAATTTCTGAATGACAGAAAAGCTCTATTCTAGGAAGGCCATGTAAATAAACTAGCACATGTTAATAATGCATACATGTATATAAACTCAACCACAGGGTACTCAACAGAGAACACTTTAAAGCTTTGCTCCTGTATATTTATCTAGGCCACAGAAGTAAGCTCTGTCACACACACCATACTGCCAACCCTTGTTCCAGGTTTTACACCCTTGCTGATCTGCAAAGTGTGCAGCTGGACCGGGAGGGGATTACCACCATCGGGAACCTAGAGGGTCTCCAAAATATTCACAGCCTCTACCTACAAGAGCTAACTCTGTGCCCCATGCCCTTCTACTAAAGGTCTGTCTAATCTGAAAGCACCCAAACTGGCATTTCCTGCCTTCTCTTGAGTTCAGGCATTTAAACCACTCCCAGATAAATCAGGCATGATGGTGCACACACGTAATCCGAGCATTCTGAGAGGCTGAGGCAGGAGGAGTCTAAATTCAACCCGGCCTGGGGAATTTAACAACTTAGCAAGATCATGTCTCAAAAATAAAAATAAAAAGGATTGGGGGTATAGCTTTAGTTCAAAGACTCTGGTTTAGTCCCCAGTACTGAAAAAAAGAGCAATTCTGAAAACACTGTTGAATGATGGTTCTTTAGAGCTGGACAATTCTCTTGGTCTAGAAATCCTTCTTGGTGTCTACTCTAAACTTTTCATGTTGTGCAGCTCAAGCCTATTTTCTGTTCTGAAGAAGAGGAAGACTATGGCTTTCAGAATCTTGAAGGCTATTTGGTGGTGACAGCATAACATTGAAACAAGCTGTCTTCCAAGAAAACTGTCCCTGAAGAAAACCACAGTCATCTGGAAACTGCATTTTTATTTAATGCTATAATTAGCAACAGTAATTTTTCATTAATAAAGCAGTAGATGCTTTGAATGTAGATTGCTTTAAAAAAAAAAAAAAAGATGAAGAAATGAGGAACCAGATTGTGAGACAAAATGCCGGGCTTCAGTCTGAAGAGCAAAAACAGGAGAGAGCTAAAGAAAGCTAAAAATATCCACATGAAATTAGGCTATAAGCAAGAGATTCACCATTTGAGGAAGTCTTCAAAAACATTATATTATGGTATCAAAGGAGATTGCCAGGAGAAAAAGTACATAGAGAAGTAGGTCAATTTGAAAGAAAATAAAGTTGAAAAGCAGAGAGGAAAGTATTATTAATTCATACTGTACAGTGGCAGCAAACCTAGAGCACATACCCTGCAGTGAGCTGTTTGTATTAATGAAACCTCTAAAAAGTTCACAGTCACTGATACAGTGTATTTCCTGTTTCTTAACTACTTGAAAAGTTGCCTAATACTACTAGGTCATTAAATGGCCTAATTTGAAATGTTTTCTTCTAGTGTTCCCCAAAAGTATTCAATGAAAGCCCACTGATAAATCAATGTAGCACTTTTGACAGCCAGGGAAGGTGGCATACCTGTAATCCCAGCACTTGGAGGCTAAGGCAGGAGGATCAACACAAGTTCAAACCCAGAATGGGCTACATAATGAGTTCAAAGTCAAGTTTAAAATAAACTATGAACCAGGTGTGGCAGTGCATGTCCATAATCCCAGCACTTGGGAGGCAGGAGTATTGTCATGAGTTCCAGGCCAGCCTGACGTTCACACTGAGGCTTTGTCTCAAAAAAAAGAAAAAAAAAAAAAAAAAAAAAAAAACCCACACAATTTATGTGGGTTTTTTTTCCCCTAAAACTGGGCATATAGATCAATAGTACAGTAAGTGCTTAACATGTCACATTCAATTGCAACAAACACCTGTCCTAAGTTGCTGCCAAGGTGCTCAGTCCTTCTGAGGGAGCTAAGGCTGCAGAGGGGTGAGGCTCTCATTTCGTCCAGTGACTAGCTCCGTACCTGGCAGCCCGCATCATGACCTCTGTCTCCAAGCTCACTTGCATCTACTCTGCCCTTATCCTGCACCACGATGAACAGACGGAGGATAAGATCAATGCCCTCATTAAAGTGGCCAGTTTCACTGTGGAATCTTTTTGGCCTGGCTTGTTTGCAAAGACTCTGAACAATGTCAACAGTGGGAGCCTCATCTACAATGTAGGAGCTGGTGGCCCTGCTCCTGCAGCTATGCTATATCTGCTGGAGGCCCCCTCCACAGCTGCTGCGCCAGCTGAGAAGGTAGAAGCAAAGAAAGATGAATCTGAGGAGTGTGACATCAACGCCACGGGCTTTGGACTTTTTCACTAAACCTCATTTTGTAACATTTAATAAAAACTGAACAGCTAAAAAAAAAAAAAATTTCTGGGAAGGGAAAAAATTAACACTGATTTAGATTGTTACTAAGCTAAGCAATACTTACACGAACAGTAATTCATGAGATAAGTTTTTGACGTTTTATCTTAAGATCAATTATTGTTCTGAATTACAAAATTTTTTAAATCTAAAATTTGGTTATCCAGGTTTTGGCATATACACAGCAAACCTTGTAGGTGCCACCCAAATCTTCTTGGAAAAAGTATTTTCTTAAAGGACAGCACTACTGAGAATGAAGAGGAGAAAAAAAAGACTGTATGCAAAATGCCACTTTTATACCTAGAAGAACAGCCTGAGGCTGAGGTAGAACGATTTTAAGGTTTGAAGCCAACCTGTGAAATTCAGTGAGACCCTGCTCTTAAAAAAAATAAAATGGGGGGCTGGGGATTTAGCTCAGCGACGTAAGCGCCTGCTTTGCAAGCAGGCAGTCGTGAGTTCGATCCCTGGTACTGATAAAAAGGAAAAAGACAAAAAATAAATAAATAAATAAATAAAAAACAAAAATAAAATGGCTGGGGATACAGCTCAGTGGTAGAGTACCTGCTTAGCACAGTGAAGCCTTGGGCTTTGATCCTAAGAAAGAATTATAAAGAATTTCTTTATAAATTGTAAATTTTTGTAACCTTTTTAAAAAGCAAAATGTGAATGCTGACAGTTTAATTTAAAAACAAGACAAAATATACACATACAAGTTATTTCTGGAAAGCTACACAGAGAACTGTACTGACTTGACTACCTCCAAGAACAGGGATGGGAGAGGAAACATATTACCATATGCCTTTTTAATTTTGAATCATGTACAGGAATGGCCTAATTTTAAAAAAAGGAAGGAGGAGGAAGAAAAGAAAGGACAGAGTGCAGGGATAAGGAGGAAAAGATCATATGTCTCAGAAGAAGCGCTAGGCATAGTACCAAAACAATCTGTTTGACCACATTCCTGGAGAAGACCTGGCTACTCACAAGGCAACTTTTAATGATGTAATTCAGTGACTGCCACATCTAAAAAGCTCTCCATGCAAACTGTCTTTCAGTTTAAATTTGTTCTTGCTACTCTTCTCTAGCCTTGCCCATCTTGACCACAATTCAAAGACCATCCTCTGGCAATGCTGAGTTTTACCCCATACACATTCGGTGGACTTAGGCTCACTACTGAAAAATGCAAGTCATCAGGTGACACAGTTCCTAGTTCAGCAGCAAGTATGTGTTCATGAAAACAAAAAGGGAAAAAAGAAAAAGGGTGAAGGAGCCTTTTCATGAACAATAATCACTGGTGAATAATAAGAGGTTATAACTGTTTCTCCAATTTCAGATTTTTTCTAGACAAATTAAATCCACATCCAAAATTTTTCCTTATACTTTTCAAATTTAACTACTTCCTGTATATTAACTGTTAAAACTCTGAAATCACCACAGCCCTCCAACTGCCTTCCCTGAAATTACACATTGCTCTAGCCAATCCAAGCATAGAGTTAAGAGTAAGACAGGTAATATGAAGGGAGAAAGCAATAGAGGCAAACCATCCCAATGTCCAAACCTCCAGAACACATTTCTTTGGACACAGTTCACTTCCTATCCCACTCCATACAATGGGCTTCTGTTAAAGGAATCTGCTTATATTTATGGGCCCTCATACTGAAAAAGCCAACAGTCTTTCACTGATCTCAAGTTAAATCTCTTGATGTTCAATTATGGATTACAAATTGGAAATCACTGCAGCATAAAGGAAAAAAGTATACTTCAACAAAACATTAAAATATGCAGATTTATTCCAGTTTTTAAAATCAGAGGCAGATTAAAAGAAATGTAAAAAGCACCAAAGGGAAAACAATTGCATAAGATGCCTGATGAGAACAAAAAAACAGTTACTACTTAGATTATTCTCAGAAAAGAGAGTAGAAGAATATAGGATTTAAATCAGAAGGCTTGTGCCAGGGAAATAGTTCAGCAGCACAGTGCCTGCCTGACAGGCATGAGGTTGTGAATTGAATCCCTGGTACAAAAATAAAAAAATCAGAAGGCCTGAGTCAATTTTCAGCACAGTCATTAAAAATCTAACTCATAACCTCAAGGGCCTGCTCACTTCCCTTTGATAGCTGCTAATGAACAAACACCAAAAAATCTTCCACATGTCTCATAGGACTGAAACAATTACATGACAATCACTCAAGTATTTTCTGACCAGCTATCAAATAAAAGATATACATTATGGATTCAAGAATAGTGTACCACTATGGAAAAAGACCTTTCTTCATTTTTATATTTATGAAATACCAAACTATTTGCCCAGGCTCTTCATACCTAGAAGTAGATCACTAAGACTTGAGTGGTCAACACAGACATCATCTACTGATTTTGTTCAGTGTGCTACTGTGAAACGTTATTTGGCATGACTGGAAAAGACCTTATAGGAGCATATACAAAGGCAAAACAAGCACTGTCTTAGAAAAACAGGCATGATTTTGCTGAAGGGAAAGTTGAACCTTAAACAAGAAGAAACCTAAAACATAATTTTGTTCAAAAATGAGTAAGAGAGGGTAAGGAGGTAGGATGGGAAAACAGAATAACAAATTCCTGGAGCCTCTATTGCAGGGACAGGACTGCTAGAGGGCAAGTAGGTCCTCACCAAGCAGGTCAGGCTTTTCCAGAAGAGCCAGCTGCCAGACAGCATGTGCATCATTCTAAAAAATATGACGGCCAAACTAAATCCATCCTAAGGGCGGGCTCTGTGGAGGGCTCTGAGTCCTCAGATAACAAAAGTCTGTTGACAGCAACAGACCAGAAAACGATCAGCCCTGTGGTGAGCTCCAAAAGTGAGTAAGTTTCAGATGGTTTATTGAAACTCACTGAGAGCTAACAAGGATGAGCTGAAGAGAGTCAAATAGGGTAAGAAGAGCAAAACAGCACAATGAAGCCACTGGGTTCTCTTTTACCAATTAACCAATGAACTGCTATTTTTCCTTTGGTTTTTACTTTTCACTACAAGCCTAGGTTTTTGTCTCTCCACTTCCCCACCCCACCCCGATAACTATTTTTATGTGACATTGGGGTTATTTTAGAGAGAAAAAGGCTGCAGTGTTACATGGTAATTGTGATAAGAAACTAGTTTAGATTTATGTCACATGGTAGTCTATTCCTGGATTACAGTTTCCAAAGGTCTCTGCAGTTACTTCTCTGAAGAGCAATGTACCATTATGTTTCCCAGCGGGGGGAGGATAGGAAGAAATGACAAGAGCCTGAGTTAAAATGGCAAAGAGTTGATGTGATCTATTGACATGTAAGATAGTCTCTTCATGAGACAGAAGAACAGCACCAAGCTTGATAACACATGCCTGTAATCTCAGCTCTGGGGAGGCTGAGGCAATCACCGCAACTATAAGGTTAGTCTAGCCTACATAAGTGAGTTCAGGTCAGCCTGAACTACATAGAAAGATCCTGTCTCAAAAACAAATAAACAGAAAAGAGTCCAAAAGATTCAGAAGAGAATATGATCTCCGATCAAGAGAAGGAAAAAGAACTGCAGAATGGTCAAGCATTTTGTATCTACAGAGACACGTAACACACATTTTAATACAGTCTGCTCACAGCTCCTAGAATCAATAGTTTCCCTGGTACCCAGGTATTGGTTTTAAAATACTACTTCCTACCACAAGGAACCAGAGCTTCTCAGAGTAATGGCTAATTCCATGCTAAGAAGAGCAAGTGTAAGATGAGTCTGTAATAGAATGCTGGACCAAAAGTTTATAAAAACTAACGGAGCTGGGCATGGTGTAGCTCTCACTGGTAGTCCCAGCACTCTGAGAAGCTGAGGCAGAAAGGTCATGAATTCAAGTCCAACCTGAGCAATTTAGCAATTTAGTGAAATCTTGATCCTGACTCTAAATAAATAAATAAAGGAAGCGAAGGAATGTATCTCAAGTTTGAAATCACTGATATCTGTCAAAATGATGCAGAAGCCATCTTGAAGAAGTTCCCACTGGCCAAATATGGGACAGTTTACACATCAAATAATGGAACTGGTGGGTCATTATGTAGTGAATAAAGCATGAATCTATGAATCTAAGCTATTATGGTAGTGCATACCTATAATTCCAGCATTCAAGAGGCTGACGCAGGAGGATTGCTGCAAGTTCGAGGCCAGCCTGAACTATAAATGGAGATCAAGGCCAGCCTAAACTACATGGTGACATTCTCACTACAAAAACTAAAGTAGAATTTAAAATTTAAAACGTTAAGGAAAAAAAAAAAGTTTTTTCTGCCATAGTTACAAATAAGACTAGATTATATCACCTACTTCCACATTAGAAAAATCTCTTAAGTTTCTGATTAAAGTCATCACAATCCTGAGGAACATTCTATAACTGTCTTTTGCAGCCTAGAAATTCTTTCTGTAAATGCATATTATTCTCTCATTTCTCAGATGGCCTCATATCCAAATCACTTAAAGTAACTTTACCTAAACATAAGTCAGACTTTAAACAGCATCATTTCATGGGCAACAGAAACATGGTCGTTGTTTTAGGGAAACAGAATTAAGAGTTCACCCAAAAGAGTAAAGGGAAAGTGCTTTCATTCAAAAACGGTATTTAAGGTAGCCAGAATCTGTATTTCACAATTTAGACCAGATGCTGGCAAACTTTTTCTATAAAGGACAAGTTAATATATATTACAAGTTTGTGAACTATACTATCTCTGTACCACTACAGCACAAAAGCAGCCAAAGATAATACATAAATGAATGAGTATGGCTTATACTTTTAAAAAAATAAAAACATGCAGTGGACAATTTAAAGCATTTAATCTGATTAACAAAATGAACTATGAATATTTAACCATGTTTGCCTTTTACCAAATGAGATACACAAAAAAAGTTAATGCTGCATTATCCAAAATAGCATTCTTTGAGGGCAATTCTAATTGTTTTTATTTATTTATTT